TTTCCCATAAGGTTCAATGTAATTACCGTTAATCCGTTCTGGCGTCCGCGGACCACGCCTCAGGGGCGGGAGAACAGCCGGGCGCCGCACAGCGCGGCGGGAAAATGGCCGCGGACGTGTCAGGGGTGGAAAAATGGCCGTACCCCGAGGCGGAGTTCGCACATCAAGGTAAATTTTTGCGGCCAGAGCTGGTCGTAACCCGAAAAGTTAGTTGTTAGAGGCGTTCGTATCCTGAGGTACCGCTATAATTGATTTAGCTGTTTTTTAAAGAAACAAAAACAAAAAACAACCTTTTTTTAAAAATAGTAAGTAATAGTAATAGTAATTGTATTAAATAGTAAGCTGTATTTAATACAAGTATTATTGTATTAAATAGTAATAGTAATAGCTCACTGCTTGCTCTTTTTTTTTAAACAAAACAAAAATGAGATAATTGATGTTAAATGTGCTCAAAGGGGATCTCACAACCAACAGGTTCTGCATAACCCACTTATCTTAATTGCCTAATTAGCTCTTTTGGGGAGTGACCCGATATATTAAACCCAAAGTCCCCACGTAGGCTGGTTTCATACAATACCAAGCCACAACGTAGCAAACCCAACTTAAAACTAACCAAGCTGAACAATCACTTGCTTATTTTATTCAGAATGTGTATGTTCCTCTCTTTCCTGTACAGCCGAACCGTCTAGAAACTAAAGGGAGTTTCAAAAGGACGTTTGGGGCCATGGCACAGCAACAAAGCAAAAATCTTACTGGGAGCGCAGAAAGTTTGGGGCGAGTTGAACGAGCTCTCTGGATCGCGGCCAATATACTGATAAAAAGACAACAGTGGAACAAGACCTACAGCGCAACTTCCCACAGCTCAACCAGCCTTACAAAACTTGTTAGTCAAAACCACGCAGGCACGTAAGGAGATTACGGCTTGAGAAAGCTTCTCCCTGCCAAATGCGCCTGTTCGGAGAAGAAATGATCCTCGTTGTCGTACGTACAAACGCCGATACAATAGGGTGGTTTCGTCTTTCAGACTGGAATGGCAAGCAAAGAATGAAATAGCATCGCAGCTTCATGACTAGCCCAGACACTCCCCAGAACAAGTCACTTTGCTCAAGGTGCTTCTAGAATTCCTACTCTGGCTGGAATCCTGTTTGAAACGAAGTCTGGAAAAACATCACCAGCACCAGCCCTCACAGGAGACAAAATCACGGTTATTTGGTGCTGCATCTTACACCGTAATTCTACGTGAACAGGACAACATCAGGGAGATGCAGGAGGCTCCTAAACAATACTGAAATCCCAGCTAATATTAAGGTCTGACAGGTCTTCAGTGCATCCTGAACAATAACGCACAGAACTTCCTTGTACACAAACAAATCTGAGTTTGCCATTTCCCAGAAGAAACTGTACAATTAAACCTCAAACAGCATCTTGTGTGTTTTTCTAGTCCTTTCTGTGTGGGCAAAATTATTTTTTTTTAGCGGAGTTTACCTCCGGCCAGTCAGTCTTTTTTCAAGCTAAACATCTGCACTCCAAAAGCAGATGAGAAAACCCAAGGCTTTGCATGAACGCTGTCATGCCAGTTGCAATAGGACCTCCAGACATCCTGAGATCAACGCTGTTCCCATTTATTCGATTCCCTGATAGCCTCTGCCAGTTTGAACGGCTTCTGCCCCAAATAAAACACCCTCCATCTTGCTAATCAATGTTTTCAAGCAGATTCCAATGAGAGGAAGAATATTTACAGCAGAAACAAGGAGAAAACTCAGACTTGTGGGCATGCTACTGGAAGTAGGCTGCACCACCGTGTAACTTAACGCACGTGCTGGGTGCTCTGGCCTCTTCATTCTGTTAATTTATCTTGTTTCTACCCTGGGCCTTCTGCTTAGCTTTTGTGTTATTTTGCCCTTTTTCTCCCCAACTCGCTGTACTTTTCAAGCACATATTCTGTGTTTGGGGAGTGGCCAGAAACCTTCGGCATTCAGAAATTATCAGCACGAGATAACAGCTGGGCGATTTCAAGGGAAGAGCAAGGGCAAAAGTCGAACCGTGATGACAAAATTAATTATGACCATTACAGCCATGAGGGCTTTCGTGAAGAGTGTGTAGCCCTGCCATCCACCCAAGTGAATGTAGAAGACGCTGTGAATGTAGAAGACGCTTTGATCATACCGTACAAATGAGTATGTTTCTAGCTTTGTACACCGCCCAGAGTCCACTGGAGATGGGCGGCCAATAAATTTATATGAATAAGAACAATACATTGAGGTATTTGCATTGCTTCTTATCCACCTATTGCATGAGATAGGTATGTCTTACAACACAATCTCTTTTCTTTAAAATGCTACAATCAGGGAGATTTTATTGCAGGTAAGGAAAGATAAATGTTTTCCTTGGAACAAAATGTCAACGTTAAGACCTTGGAGGGACAGAGAAATGGGCACGATGCCCTTCGATTTCCCAAGACTCTCCAGGAAAATACCCAACCACACCTACTATGATCCCACCCTTTGGAGCATCAGTGTACAGGAAACACCGCCGCCACAGTATTTACAGCCATTGGACCATGCTGCCAGCTTCTAATCAGCAAAACCTAATCTTCAGCTCGTGGCTCTTGCCTGATTTGTTTGATCAAAACCAAGGATACCTCCAATAGCCTCCCTCGCTAGCCAGAGAAAGAGAAGGACCAAGGAATAGGTTTCTCTTTCTTCCTTATCAGTGAGCTCAACCAAAGATCAACTATCATGGGATTGTAAAACTTCAGGAAAGCACACGTTGTGACCCAGGATTGCAAGCTTTGCAAGGATGTGTACTGACACAAATCTCGTACCAGGATTTTGGTGGTAATAAAGCAATTAAAAAAAAAATGCTGCGCGATTTACACCTTTACTGCCTTCAGTCTTCTAAGAGGCACCTCTCACCTTTGGATGCTTCGCTTGAGCATAAAGCTCATCCCCTTGAAACTGTGCGGCAGTCTGACTAGGCTGTGAGATACTGTTAAGTATCTGAAACACAGAGCAGGACCGTACAATGTCAGGGAGCAAGAAGTGCTGTTTATCAGCAAAGACATGACTTGTAGGGGTTACCATCCTGGTCCACCTAAGAGAGGCCCAGCTCTGGTGTGCGTTCAAAGCCTGCAGTGAGCCTAGGGCTGAAGAGAAGTATGGGCGAAGGCTGTTCCTTCTCACCCCAATTCCAGCGCCGTGGTATTTACAACTGTTGCAACACGCTGCCAGGATCTAACCAGCAGGAATGCCAACCCAACGTACCCAGTATAGCCGTGCCAGGAATTGGTACGGCTGCACTGCCAAGCAGGAGTGCCGACCCAGAACAAACTTCTGTCTTCTGCAAGCTCTAAGTTAGAGAGGAGAGGTAAAGACAGAGAGACAGAACCAGATGTTTTGCTGAGGAAAACGATGGGCCTCTCCCTTCCAGAAGGGAGGGTAAGACAAAGATTCTTGAGGTCATCTGTTTGCTTGGACACAGTGCTGGCTGGAAATAATGGCACTGTCACCCAATACACCTCGAGGGCAATCCAGCTGGCCTCCATGGTTCCCCCCCCTCTGCCCCTTGCTCCAAGGTAGCCTCCCCACTGGGGTGAAAGCCCTGTGTCACCGATGCTGCAATCTTTTGGCCGATCAAAGTTTTGTGCTGCTTCCAGTACTGGCAATACGCAATATTCAAGCCCATTGTGTATACCCAGAGGTAATTATTAACACAGAAGCTGCACTGATTTTACAGTCTCTCTAACTTTTGGGCCATCACACAGAGGTCAGGCCACCAGAATAACTTAGAAATATCCTGGAGGGGGGCTGTAGAAAAGCCACCACAACAAAAGACGAGGGCCTCTAAGAGCCAAAACCATCTGTTGCTGTCATATCACCACATCCTACTATGGAAAATGCTTTATTGCCCAGGATAAAAACAGCTGGTCAAGAAAGCGCTGCAACCCAAACTAAGATTCTCTTCCAAATGACCCAGCATGATCCTAGCTTCTTCTTCTGCAAAGCCACTCAACCTGTACGTCCCAGAATAACCTTGCTTGCAAGGGCAGGCGTGATCATCCAGCTGAGGTCACCTGAAATACATTCGGGAGTCATTCAGGGACCGTACGGCTCATCTCCCAGATGGATGGTGAATTTTGTCATTGCCGAGCTGAGGCTCCAGGCTGAACAGGTTGTAGTTTCTCCACCCGCGCTTTATGGCCCCTTATTCAAGGTGGCACAGAAGTATCTCCTGCAGAGCTGGGCAAGGCTTTCTGCACTTCCCAGCAATCTTTTAAAACTTCCCCCACCTCCCTTACTGCCCTGTAGCAAAACTCCCTTTTAACGCTACTTCAGAAATCCCATCAGATGCCAGAGGGTTTGTTTTGGCTAATATAGCAAAGTCAGAGCTCATTCGCTACCAAGTGTCTCCTGCCTTCAATGATACAGCCCTGGCTTTTAAAAAACTGGCATTTGGAACATCCAGCAGAATCCCACCATTTGGTTTGGAATGCCCTGTGTTTAAACACTGGCTTACTTCCTTGGTAATCCTACGTTTAGCCTCCTTTTCGGTTCTATTCTCTTGCTGAGAATCTTTTCTCTGCACAACCTTGTTCCCTTTTCTCCTAGAGTTTAGCAGGAAAGTCTGTTCTTCAGCAGCCAGAGCCAGGAATCTGACAACACAGACTTACACATTTTCATTTACCTTTGGATTGTCTCACTCGAGGAAGAAAAACACTGTGCTTCCAGCAATACAGCAGACCAGTTGCAAATAGATAAATTCTCTTCCTGTTCCTGCTTGGGGCAACTCCAGCGACACCTACTCAGCATTCGTTCCAACTCCTCACCACAGAATACTGATGTTTGCTCACTGCCCATCAAGAAAGGAAGGAAAAAACCCCAACAGATTATTTACTCAACAGAAATGCCACTCTGAAAGCTCTTGAAACACGAGAGGGCTGCATAGGAAAAGGAGAGATGTGGCTCTGTGGATTTCAACATTGTGCTCCTGTGTCACAGAGCTGTTCTCGGCCTGGTAAACACGCAGCCCAAGATCAGATAGATCTGGGTGAGTCAACAACCTGGGATGCAAAAAGGGACAACGGGCAACCTCACTGGCAGGGTTTTGACACAGCAGCTAGATTCTCTCCCTGCTACCATGAGGGTTAGCCAGGCTCTGGAGAGCAGAGCAAAGTTCAGGTGTAGCCCACACCTGAACTGCAGAGTGAGGGGGCCTAGGTACGTCCTCTTGTTATCCTGAAACTGGACAGGTATCCTGCAACGGGGTTTAGCTCAGTGCTTGCTGGGGTAAGCAGAGAGTCAAAACAAACCTCTGCTTCTCAGAGAGCGGCTACAAAGGGAGGGCAGAGGCAGAGCACTGATCAGTGGGAAACGAGGGGCTACGTCCTGAAGGAGGGACAAAGTGAGATGATTCTTTTTTCCTAAAGCTTCATGGCCTGCTACAAAAATACTGCGTGAAATCACGGAGAATACCCCATCCTTTGGAGCAGGGTTTGCTGAAACCCTCCTGAACTTTGTCAGCCTCTGAATACATCCCCCCCCCCACCAAAAAATCACCTTGACACTTGGGCTCCAAAGGGCAAGGTGTGCAAGAATGGCACAGAAGGGTGAAAACTGCTTCTTTGATTGGCAAGAATCATTTTGATGGGTTGCTTTTTCACTTGAATCCGCCTGCACTTTGACCAAGGAGATTGAGTGAAGGCACTTGGTTCCTTTGTCTGGTAAAGGGGGACTAGAATCCCTTTTAAACAGGCGTCAGAAGGAGATTTTTATTACAAAGGGACTTAAAAGCAATTAATTCACAGAGGATAAAAGACTTAAAAAAAAAAAAAAAGCTCCTTAATCCCAGGAGAACTGCAAAGCCAGTTTTGTACCCAAAAGCATCTTAAGCTAGGAAAGAAGATGGCTAAACGCCCAGAAAAAGCCTCCAAGGCACGTGAGCCTCCAGCGACAGCCGGATTTCACACAACGCAGCCGAATCGACTGAACCCTCCAAAGCACAATAGGCTGAACCTCGCAGCAGCCAGCCAGAGCAGTTTCCCAACAAGAAACGAGAAACAGTCTTTTGGAGAAACAGTCTTTTGGAGCGATGCTTAGAATGTTTATTCAACTTGGCTTGGCATCCTCTCCAGGAAGCATCCAGCAGCCATCTCACCCGCAAAGCAGGGACAGAAAAACACTTCAGCACCGCTCCTTCCTAGGGAGGGGAGAATAACATACATTTCTCACTGATTCCTTGAGCCTTGGAAGTCCTCCAGGCGTCTAAACCAGGAAGGAGGGAAAGGGGATCAAGACCTCTTTGGGAGTTTGGGCAATTTGGCCCTGGGAATTAACGTGTGTCTTTCAGGAGATCGGTGACAAAGGAGACACAGATGCTCAACCAAGTTTACTTCCTTCAGATCTCCCTGGTTCCCCTGCTTTCCTTCTGTAATAGGATCTCCAATGGTCATCTCCTTCTCCTCCCCGTCCTGCGCCCCCTTCCCTCAGGCCTTGCCTATGCCCCCTCCCCCTGAAAGCCCCCTCCTCCAGTTCTTGCTTCTTTCCCTTTCTCCCCTTTCATTCTTTCCCCTTCCTCACAGTCCCCCACAGCCTTCATTCCACCATTCCGCCCTTCCATGCAAATTCTTCTTCTTCTTCTTCTTCTTCTTTTTTGGCCGCCCTCCTGGATCCTTTGCACGCTTCCCTGGCTCATCGCACCGCCACGCGCATCCCTGCCAGGCGGCACGGAGGATGGCAGAGCATTTCAGCGGAGGGTTCGGCATTGGCTCCTTCAACGCCTCCCTTCCCAGCCCCGCTCCTCCTTGGCATCTCCATCCTTTCTGGCTCCCCCGTTGCGTTCGTGCCAGGCGAAGGACCCCGCAGCGCCACTTGCCCGGCGCGCCAAGCTGCGTTTCGCGGGTGAACAATGAGCCGTCCGTGCCTCGCTCTGCCTGCGGACTGAATCCGGCGCGCCGGCCCCCTTCGCCACGCGGGGCGTTGCAAACCCAGCACAGGGTGGACCCCTGGATCTGGGAGGGCAGCCCCGACCCCGTTCCGCTTCCCCCCCCCACCCCCCCCCCCCCCTTTCT